ATAAAAATCCAATATAAATGGGTTAAAGTGAGGGAATATAAGATTATTATGGGATAATTTGCCTGAGGGAAGCATAATAAATCCAATATAAATCACAACCAATAGATTCCCCTTAAATGCTAGATGAACCAATGGCAGAAGAAAATCATCGGACAGAGCGAAGATGGATCTTGGCGGCATAGGTGAACGTGGTCTTTGGAGCTGCCAGAAAACTCGTGGTCTAAAAATTATCTAACTGACCATTGACCATTCCTGCCTTGACACCCGAGATCAAATTTGATCAAATCTCCAATTTCAAAATATACGAAATTGAGATCAAACATTTCATAAATTTGGTGACACCCAATTTCATTAAAATATACGAAGCATCACCATTCTATGGCTGTATGGTTCCCTTTATGACGGGGATGTTCGAATTTGTTTTTCATCCCAAAGCATCCCACATGGAGATGAAAACGGATGAGTCAGCTCCGAGTCACTCCATTTACCCTCTGGTAGACGTTCACATAGCTATCGAAAATGGCCCAGTCGAAATAGTTGATTTACCCATAAAAAACCGTATAAAAAGTTGCATGGTGATTTTCCATAGCTGTTTCTATGTTTACCAGAGGGTAAACCTCCATTTTCCTATGGTTTTCCTATGGTTATACCACTAACCTGGGTGACGACTTGCGAATTGATGATGTTCATGTGAGCACCATTAAAACCCCACATGGAGATGGGAAATCCCGAACTAAATGGAGGTTTTAATGGGTAAATCATCTATAAATGGTGGATTTTCTTAGATGATTTACCCATTAAAACCTCCAGATACAGACTCGGAAAAAAAAAACACCCAACGATATAGATGATTTACCCATTAAAATCATCCCTGTTATAGTTTTTCCCTAGATGGTAAATCTCTAGTCTTGAGATCATCTTCGGTCCGCAACGATACAGACTTAGGATGCAGAAAAAAAATCACCCAAGGCGGTGCCTAGAGATATCTACCATGGATCCAACAGTTAACCTACTAATTTCATCTAATGTCAACAAACTTGGCCAACCAAATCCCATTAAATCCCATTAAAATCAGGGTTTTTAGCTGCTAACATTCACATGAAATCTATGAAATCCTATGAACAATCGCCTGATCATTTATACCGAACTCAGCCATTCCCAAGGGCAACCACCAACCGTCCGTGCCGCAAGCGTCCCGCTGCCGCTGCCGGCGAGGCTCTGCTTGGGGCCAACGCCCCACATGAAGTTCTCGGGCTTGATATCCTGAAATTCGTAGAAACCCTTACGTATACTCTATTCAGGCCCCAAACGACCGCAAAGTTTTTCCGCACACGCACGGGCAACAGCTGGGTATTCATGGGGAATGTAACGAACAAGTATTCACAGGTCTGGGTAAATTATAATAATTCACGAACCTGAATAGTTGGGCCATGAATAGTTGGGCCATTTGGGGATGATTCCCCTCATAAACTATGATTCCAGTGAGGGAGAACAGTGAGGTCGTTATAATTTACCCAGGTACACTATATACTCTATTATCAAGATTACCCTCCAGTAAACTAACATAGACCCTGCCAGATAGGGGTTGGAAGAGTAGTTTCCATTATAAATTTGTGATTTTCAGGGTCTATGTTAATTTACTAGAGGGTATGGATATGTATGTATGTATATATATATTTTTTTTATCAACAGGTATAACATGATAATAATGTTGTTGAAATGATAATGGTCATAATGGTCTGTATATACATGTAATCTATATCATTCTATATCACTATATAATAATGATATTAGCAAGATTACATGACCATCATTTTCAACAGCAACATTAAACATCGTTAAGCTAGGTTTCCTTTAGGATTTGATTCAATCATGTGGGTAAAACAATGTCATAAACCACCCATTTGGAAATGGTTTCTACACCTTTTTTATGGTGAATTGGGAGATTGTTACATATACATATATATATATAATATGTGTGTGTGTTCTATAAGCTCTATACATATATATACATATATATATATATATATATGTGTATATGCATTATAAATGTATATAAATATAAACAAATATGACTAGAGACAAAAACTATCCATCCAGCTGGTTGACTCCGTAATGACCCTTCAGCAAACCTTGGGATTTCATCAACGAAGCTGGTTGGTGGTTGAGCCCTACCCCTCTGAAAAATGTGAATTCGTCAGTTGGGATTATTCTTCCCAATATATGGAAAAGTAATCCAAATGTTCCAAACCACCGACCAGCAAAGTAAGGGCTGGCGAATGATGTTCACCAAGACTACCATCCACTCCCGTGCTGAATCATTCTAATATTATGGCCTATTTCGGTGGTGTCATCAACAGAAGTGATTTTTTTGCGAGAAAACGCAAAAAAGTTGGTGCAACCACGAGGTTGGGAAACTCTATCCGTGGCTCCAACTGGCTACCCCATGTTGTTTTGGGAATATGGATACAAGCATAGCTCAGCTCAGCGTACCCCTCCATTCACCACTAGCTCTTGGATGTCCTGCTATGTCATCAATACTCATGGTCTATTCGGCAAATGTTCCCAAATGTGAATGGGACAAACGTCAGCAAATATAACTAAATTACATATATATAATTATATAATTAATTACAATTATATATGTATATAATCTGTATATAGATTATATAGTGTAGAGTATATAAAGGGGACATTGGGATACGCAAGAACATCCCATGATATCCCTCTTTTTTTTTTGCGTTTTCTTCCCCATCGCCTCATCCCAACCACCAAAAAAACCGAAGCCCAGTGACTCGATGGACCACACCTGCGCAGCGGTGAAGGTGAACTAAGCTTCTAACGTGAACTCATGTGGGTAAAACGATGTATCCCAGAAATCACCATTTGTTATAGGTTTATGCTATTAATTGCTATTATGATTATCTTACATATCTTATAAACGTACTGAGAGTTGTGTTATACCATTTATAATATGTACCTTGTTAAATGGCTTTATGATAAGATTGATACAAATAAACCATTCCTGGTTGGTGGTATACCTACCCATCTGAAAAATATGAGTTCGTCAGTCGGGATCATGAAATGCCCAATATATGGCAAAATGAAACATGTTCCAAACAACCAACCAGATTCCCAGTCATGGGTGGTTTATGACATGGAATTACCCACATTGTGAAGAATCAAATCCTAGAGGAAACCTATCTTAATGCTGCTTAATGATTTAATGTTGCTGTTGATAATGCTGATAATATATGATAATTATCATCTCTTGGATTTGCTTAAGGGCCCCGGAAAAAACAAAAAAAACTTTTCTGGTGGAGTTCTCGTTGGGAAAAATACACCCAAAGTACCTAAAGTACCTAGCACAAACCAGTTTTAATTTATGCATATTAATGTGGGTCACGTTCTGGTAATCACAGGGCGGCAAGAGCATTCAGAAGGACGGTTCGTGATCTTTCAGTACTGGACAAAAGACCTGCAGTCCTGGAGGTCTTGAAATTTGACTTGGAGCCGTCCTCAAGATTGGTTTCGAATCATACTGCCAGAGTTTTTGAGCTATAATTTTTGTCATAGAACCACTTAAACTATCTTTTTGAGGCTGCTTGAGCCCAAATTTCTTGGATCTCCATATTTTCAGTGGCTGGGATTCCTGGGATCCCCAAGATTTGTCAAATTCACTACTAACGAGCCACAAAAACGTGAGGATCTAACAGGGGATCACCGAAAAGCTGGAAAAGGACAAGTTGATATCACGTCTTTTAATGTCGATATCCACAGTGACATCAATTCCTTTCCTCTACCTGTCCGTTACTGTCAACCAAGCGCTTTCGAAGCTACCATTTTGGCCAAACTCTATGAGCAAGAAGGATGGTGGAAACTAGCCGCAACTAGCCTCTTCAAACAAAGATATCCGGTGATCTTTTCCTACAAATCTGGGTTTTCCCTATGTTGGTTTACTCTAAGCTGTCTGTTTTTGATCGTTTTTGGGGCTTCTTGAATCGGTGTCCCGGCATCGATTTATGAACAAAGATCCACCTCGCGAATGCAAGTACTCGATCCGCATCAAGATCTGGCGAAGCGGGGAAAACATCAAGAGATCTTTGGATATTCAAGGGGGAATCAAAATATGATCACCTACAGTCTACAGTTATATCATCCCAAAATGTTTTATAAGTGGGTTATCATGATCATAATATGTTATAACCCAATTTAACAAGTATAGGATGAGATACCAAAAATACCAGTTATGTATATATATATTGCATTTTGATGGTCGTAAATGGGTTATCATTCCATAATTTCGGTGACTTACTGACTTATGCCTGCTAAAGGGCCATATATAACTGTAGGTGATATTTTGGAATTTAAACACATTATTTGGGAGAGATATTTGGGGCATGTATAGCAATTAGGGGCATTCTAGAATGGGAGGGTTGAATGTAAAAAGTCCAAGGCTGGCTGTGTACTTTGCTCATTGTCCTATGTATCTCACCATAAAGTATACATGAGCAACAATTGCCTAAAAATACTGGGATACGGGCTACAAAAGGGACCTTTGCTGTGTACCCCTATATGTAGCCCTCAACACAACAAGATTCTCAGAGTTTGGGATCCCAGTTTAAGCACGTTTAGCTGACAGCTTGCTGACAGTCTGCTGATAGCTTGCTGACAGCTTGGCTGAGAAAAACAGTTGCGCCACAAATTGAGTTGTTTCGAGCATTGAATTGCCATAGCCATAGCCATGGAATATGTCAGAGCACCTGAAATTAACCAATCTTCGGGTGGTCTCCTATATTTATAAACCGTCGTGTCGGGTGAGGTGAGCATTTAAGGTCTCTATCATCTGCCCATCAATAGTCGCCATTGAAAGTGTCATTTGTTTGCTGGTAAAAGATCTAAAATCATATCGATTTACAAATACATCGCATTTGTTGCTTATGCAATTATCATCAACATATCATCAACTATCCCATGGTTCCAGTCACCAGCAATAATAATCAATCCCCAAAATCACCAAAAATGGTAGGTTTATGGCATGGGGTTTTCCCACATTCATCGGTTCCTGGTCCCAGATCAACCACGCCACCGCCGCTACGCCGCGCCTGTTGAGCCACGAGACATGCGGTTTTTGGTTTGAACCGACCACCGCACCTGGCAGGGGACAACAACCAGCAAGAACTGGGGATACAGCAACTGATACATCTGAAAAAAAAGGATGATATAATTAGATATATAGTTAGTATAGTCAGGGTATAGTTATATGATTAGATGCAATCAGCCAAAAACCCTCAGCTTTTAGGGCTTGATACGATGTTCTAGCCAAAAAGAACCAGGAAGAATTCCCTCAAGGTATACAACTTAGTACACCTTGATGCACACTTCAAACCACCCATATCACCATGACTTCAGACTTGGGGCCCCGGACATCTGAACGTGGTCTTCTAGGCTTTTGCCCAGAAACTCCATGGCTAAGCAATTGAAATTGCCCTGCCGTGTCGCTGCGATTTGGTTGGCTTGAAATTGGGATTTTGATAATTTATACTGCGTGTAATCGTAAGAAACTGAGCACATTTATTTTCTTCAAATGCTACTAATGCGGGTAAAACAATAATAATCCATCCCTCAAACCGCAATAGGTGGTATAAACCATTCCCAAATGGGTGATTTATTATTTTATTCTTGTTTTACCCACATTACAATACTAGTATAATACAACTCAATAGACAGGCATGATTTGGGCTTCACATCATGCGCCTCTTGCCCGAAGTGGAAGAACTTGGCCTCACCAACAACCGACCGCCGACCGCGCCGTTGGACAACCGTTGGACCGCTTTTTCGGTGGTGCTATTTTCCAACCATCCCCAAATTGACATGATGACCTTGCCAAATGATACTACAGTAGTAACTACATACCCTCTGGTAAACATACAAAAAACTATGGAAAATCACCATTTTTAATGAGAATATCAACTATAAATGGGCATGTTCAATAGCAAACTGTTAGTTTACCAAAGGGTACCTCCAAAAAGTGGTGATTTTCAGGGTCTATGTTAATTGGGGGGATGATAAGATCTTTCGGACCAGGGATGGGAATTGTCAAAAGCTCAACTCGACCAAACACAAAGATGCCCAGTCGCCGTCATCATTTTCATCATGTTCCATCATTTTCATCATGTTCCATCATGTTCAATTCTGTTCCATCGTTTTCTATCATGTTCAAACACCTTCCGTCATGTTTCATTGTGTTTCATCAATATCAATGTCGATTTCAACTTTTTTCTTCATCATCATCATCATCATCATCATCGTCATCATTGTCATCAGCATCATCAGCATCATCATCATCATCATTCATCATCATGAATCATCATGAATCATCGTCTATCATCATCAATCATCATGAATCATCATGAATCATCATCATGAATCATCATCAATCATCATCAATCATCATCAATCATCAATTATCAATCACAACCAATCAATCAATCAATCAATCAGTCAGTCAGTCAGTCAGTCAGTCAGTCAGTCAGTCCAGTCAAACAATCAACCAAGTCAAGTCAAGTCAATCAATCAATCAATCATCATATTCACTATATCATCTCCTCTGTAATCCCCCTGCAGGTTGGTTTTTAGAAATATCACGGTTTTTTTTGTGTTGTCATCCTCTTCTACACCACCCATTCGAACATCCCAGTATGACGTATTGTCTCTGTGTTTTCGCCGGCTGCATTTTTTTTGCCGGCTGCATATTAAGACAAAATCTGCTTGGTGGTTCCTGAAAAATATGAGGTCGTCAGTTGGGATTATTCTTCCCAATAGATGGAAAAATAAAATTCATGTTTCAAACCACCAACCAGAAATAAGTTGGGCATCCGCTGTCTCCTTTTTGGGTTGGCTCATCGTGTTGCACCGGATTTGGGGCTCTGTTGGTTTAAACCGAACGGCTTTCTGTTTGATGGAGGAGATATCGAACGAATTGGATGGGGTAAGAAACCCAGATACAAAAAATCACTGGGAGACCCCTTGGGACCATCCCCTTGTCAATCTTGGTCGCCATCGTTTTCGAACATGTCTTTTCTACAGTAAACATGTTCAAAAAAACTGCAAACATGTGCATGGTCAATGCACATTTACAGTTTTTTTTCAGATGTATACTTTAGATGTCTGATAGTATCTGATAGTAACATCACCATGGTTTTGATCTGTTTTGACCACGTTAAAGCACCATTTTGCCTCGAGAAATCTGTCGGCATCCAAGGGGCATAACCCTGCAATTCTGCAGGCCCTCGGAGCAAATTCAACATCTCAGCCTCACAAAAAAGCGGGGTGCAGATTCGTGTCAAAATGTTGGGGATAAATATCTATATCTATATACAGATGTATATATATATGCGTATACACATATAATATATATATATGTATATATATATATACAATATATATATACCTAGCCCCATCCTGTCCCTCATAAATATGACCTCACTACTTCTCACATCAGTTTACGGCCTTCCTCCCAAATTACATCCCTTTGTAAAAAGGCAGGATTTACGCTTTTTTGGGTGTTTTGGCATTCCAACCATTTTGGATTAAAGACCATAAGACTTGATATCTTTAGGGTTGATCGCCTTGAAATCCAGTGATATTTGGTATAAGTTCAGCACCAAAGTCCCCCCGCCACGAGCTCATTCACTGCAGCGTGTTTCTGGCTGGCACCTTCTGAGCAACAAGTTCATCCTGATAACTGCTACTTGGCTGAAAATCAGCGCTGGTTGGCCTGGGAAACTATTGGTAGGCATCCATGCCCCTGTCATCACGTAAAGATCTGTCCAAGTGGTCACGACTTAGTAACAAAGATCGCTGTAAAGATCTCAAATGAACAAGTCGGATTGAAACCCTTCGGCTCACCCGACTCGGAACCCCAATAAAAGATTCCTGCATCTGGCAGGAAGTGGCCAGTGGATTTATGATCCACTTGCTCCGGAGACACTGTGACAACATTTCCATTGGAACATGGTGAATTAGATGAATCTTTGGTATCATTGCAAAGCGGTTCTTCTGCGCCAGCAAAGCTAATCTGGCAGCTGTTTGGTATTGATTCAAAAACCACAACAGCCAATGAGCGAGCTTTTTTCCCTTGTAATCACGGATCCAAAAGCCTTCAGCAAACAAGTGAACGAGCGCGGTGTTGATCGCTTTGGTTCCAAGATCCTGGGCAAAAAGATGGTAGAAACACAAAATTCATTCTAGCAGCCCCCTTTTCAAAATAAAATATGTAGAAACATCTACAGGTGTGACAAAGTTACAATAATGCAAAGAGCAAGGAACAACTGCTTTGAGTAACTCGTTGTCAGTCTTGTTTGTGACATAGCGAGTGCAAAACCATTCAAGAAACTTCATCAGATGCGTTGATGTAGATCCTTTATTCCAGCTTCCAATAGGGCAAACATTACCCGATGGAAAGTTCAGAAACTCCCTGTCAATTTTCTTGACCCACCCACAGCGTCCATGTTGTCTTTCAAACTCGCGATAGGTGGAAGTTAGCCACTCAAACTTCCCTTCAATCGAGGTAGCATTTTGTATGGGTAGGAATTCGACTATAGCAACAAAGCTAGACGCCAGCCAATGCTTCGCCACTCCCAAGTGAAAACAATGCCACAAGTCTGCTGCGAAGAATGAAGCTGGGGGAACATCACCCAGGGGAACACCTTGTAAGATAACTGGAAGTTCTTGCCATGGGCTTTCTGTCCCAATTGTTGCTAGCCATCCAGGGTTCAGTCCTAGGTCCTCAAAGGGATAGGGAGAGACATTGTTGGAAGATCCATCTGGTGCTCGGTATTCTTTTCCAGCCAAGCATAAATGACAAATCCCAACAGCTGGTTTTTTACTGGCTTTTGCCTTTGGAGCCCGTAGAAAATTTCTCTGCAAAGAGCCAAGACGTTGGAGAGCTGGAAGGTCCCCTTTAGTATTCATATGGCAGAACCAGACTTGTTTTGTATGATCGCTGCTTGTGATTCCATCCAGTAACAATGACTCAACATCCTCACTGTAGAGTCTCATCAATGTGTCCAAGCAACCAGGGTGCAGGTCGGAAACAGCTTTGAGGAAAGTCGCAAACACAAAGTGAGATGCCATAGGGTGGTTGATAAAGTTCATGCCCATGCTATTCCTTGACAGTTTTGCCTTGTGTTTTCCAGCTCGCAAAAATGCAAACGTCCCACGGCCTAGAACACCATGAGTTGAAATGACTAGGATAGGGTTCTTTTTCAGCGACCTGCCTTCATCAGTATGTGAGTAAATCGGAATGGTGTTCTGAAGCTCCAAAACACCTTCTGAAGCAAGCTGGTAGACCCCATGGTTTGGAAAGATGCTTCGCATACGATTCCAAAATTCAGCCAGAACAGCATTCATTTTTTCAAAAGTATCACAACCAGTCATTTGCCGCCAAAGCAAACCAGCATTCAACAAATACTGGCCCCAATCTCGAAGTCTGATGATTGGAAACGCTCTCAAAGTTGGGACACCCAGGTCAACTTGAGAGATGGGAACTGGTGGAACTAGGCCATGTTCTCTGAACACTTTGTGCACACCAGACTCTGCATCCGTGTCATTGATAGCTGCCATTTGCCTAACTGCGCGTGAAGCCTGCGGGTTCTCTAGCACTTCCGCCTTCGCCACATCCACGACATGGGAAGCAGGGGCCTTGGGCAAAACAAGTCACCAGAGAACCCACTACTTCAAGGTCTTTTGCAGGAGGTGTCAGGTGATGTTTCTTTTCATTCTGAATGCAAGCTAGCTATCAGAACACACCTTCACCATCACTTTTTTTCTTGCTCCAAAGGCAAAAGTTGGTAAGCCAACTAGCAACCCCCAAATTAGCGCTTTGCGCCAAATTGCAGCATCAACCAACCCAGCGACCCTGGTCAGCTCGGCCCCCAGTAACATACAAGAAAAAAGGTGGCTCTGTATCCATGCGGTTTAGTGCGCCTTCACCACCTGAATTGGCTGCATTTTTGCAACCAATATCTTTGGCAAACTGTGATATGCATGCTGCCTCCAGCATGTGGATGTGATCCACATTGTTTGACACAGCCAAGACAGTCATAGCAGTGAAACCCTTTTCTAGGTACGCGCAAAAGCGACAAAGTGGGTTTGATGTCACACCGATCTTAAAGACACAGAGCTTTTGACCGATGTGTTGACGAAAGTAATTGATCTCGGCTATGCAATGCTGGAGCAATTTGCCAGCAGTGACTCCAGTAGACCCTTTCCCAACACGGGTAAGAATCCCATAAGATTGCACCAAGTCCCAGTGAAATGATTCCGTTTTGAATCTCTCAGAAAGTGCCATCAGTTCTGGAACTAGCACTTTGGGATCCTTAGATGTCACAGACATGAGTTTCACGTCTCAAAGATTGTCCATGCATGTTTGGGCTGGCCATTTGTACCCAAGGTTCCAAGCCATGGCCCTTTCTGGCGATGGAGCGCAGAGGACGGGGAACATCGGTGACAGCATCAAATGATGAAGACCTGGTAAAGTAGTCCATGTACTGGACATCCTCCTCAACAACTGCTTTGAGGGAATTCTCCGATAACCTTAATCAGCAAAACCATTGATAAAGCTGGTTGTCCTAATACTGTCCTAGAGTCCTAGAGCATCCCAAGGAAAATACTGAGTTCAAGTTTCAAAGAGATTCCACGGCAAGAAACTTCGCACGCTTTTCTGGTTCGATTTGATCAGGTGTCATCATTCCAGCTGTTCTTTTTTTGCCCGTGAAAGGGCACTCATAACTCAACAGGTCTATGAGCATGTCATCATCAGCATCATCCATGGCTGGGGCAGACATGGGCCCACTTCGTGCGGAAAATAGTATCTGTTTTTTTTTTGTGAGGTTCACTATCCCATATCCAGATCATCCAAAAAGATGCCCAACGAATATTGTATATAGGATGAACTGTTTCTTGCGATCTATTTCTGTTTGAAGAATGCATCCTCATGACCAAGGTTAGAATAGCTGCAGATTTCATGAATGCAGCCACATGCAGGAGCTGAGCAGTTGAAAAAAGGCGGGAAGAAGGACTGATCTGGGGTTCCAGCTCCATTGGCTATGAGGCGGGCAAGGTTCAGGAAGACACTGCCCACGGGTTCGTTCTGACCTGGCATGGTTGATGGGTCACATCTATTATACAGTATTGTTTCGTGCAAAAAAGGTGAGATAGAGGAAATAAAATCACATTGATTTTTTTCCGATGTCCACACGGTTGCTTCGCATGTGTTTCACACAAGTGACTGAAGAGTGGAAAGCCTGTTGTCCCCCACAGACCTATCAACACTCTAGGTTTCCCATTTTGGTCAAACCATATCAAGCCAACGCCCAGTGTTCCGCACTGTGCAGTTGGTAATCAACATACCAGGGTATTAGGCCCAAAATAGGCTACCCCTCGCTTTGAAAACGTTGAATCACTCCTCTCGGCTGTTCTTCAGAGCACGCAGCATCTTCCTGAGAGAAAAAAAATCATCATTTTTTTAAGGGACATGATCAACAAATATTGTGTTGCACAATACCACATACTCCAAACAAAGGATTTGATCGAGGGGCTTGGCTGTGGTCTCCGCAGTGATGACTTTGGTGCACCTGAATTTTACCAAGCCAATATGGAAAGCAGTATGAACTATAGTTTGACTAGTTTTTTCAAGGCGCGCAATTGTGGTCATTTTGATTTGCTTCTCGATCGTGGCAATGTGCCTAAGATAGTAACACCATCATGGGTGCATGTACAGGAGAAGCTCTATTGACACAAGAATCACCATGTAGGGTGAAGAACTAAAATGATCCAAAAAACTGGGCTTTCACGTTGTCATCGGGAGATCCTTCCTTCAAGTCCAAAACATTGGCCTTCGTTTCCTCTACGGCCTCGAACTGCTTCTCCAGGACTGCGATGGCATCATCGAGCCCTTTGATTGCCCTGAGGAGGCTGACATATGAGAAGGGAATGAGGGTGGAACTGGATATCCATTTTTTTTGACTTGTATCTTTTTCTTTGAGAATTTGAAATCAGCTCGCACTGAGTACCTAGCTTTTCCGACCTAGCAACGTCAGGGGACTCAGGGTCTTTCCCCTTGACATGATGCATCTCATTCTCCAGTGACTGGGCCATGTCTGTAAGCTTGGACGACCGGTTCAGCAAACTGTTGGCAAACTTCGCAAGCTTGTCAAACTCCTGCCATACAAATTGAACCATAGTGCACCCCATTGTGGGAGATTGTGAATATATTTAAAAAAACATATCCACACTTGTGACATCATATTGCTATATGATCGACATATGCATGATCATACAAAAGATTTCCTAGCCTTGGCACCAGAGTTTTCAGGAGTAGGTTTCTCATCTCCGGAGTCTTCATCTTCCGACTGGGGCATGGCTGACAACGCTGACTTGTCACGCAGGTTGGTGAGCTTGACCTTGCGACCAGAGACCTCAAGCGATGCATAGAGGCAAGTGGGTCAGGTTCCAGGGCCTGCTGGTGCTAAGAACTGCTTCATATCAAATCATGTGTTTAATTTAGTATCTGACTTTTGTGGACTCTCGGTGTTCACGTTCCTCATGGACATCCTCAGAGCAGTCATCCTCTTCCACGACCACTCGGTACTTGCGGATCTTCGGGTTGTAGCGGTCTTTCCTAAGTAGGTGAAAAAGTATATTTGGAGATCAGTTTCAATGACAGGAACTAAGAAAAAGGTGCGCTGACAACTGTTTCAACTTGTTAACATGTGACAACGAGATTCTTCCAGAGGTCCCGGTGCTTTTCGCAGTAGGCCACTACATCCTTAATGTAGGACCTGGCTGGGGCTGCAGTTTGTAGTCAGCAAATGCATGTGCTTTCTATATAGGTATATATTTGCATGCACATGATTGCACATGTGTTCACGTACATACAGAGCCAATGAAACTACAGTTGCATGCACATGCAACTAGTTGTCATGCAAGTTACTGCGACCATCCCATTTTGGACTTCATGGCTTCCTTGGTCAACCATGACCGTTTCTTGGACTCTTTCTTGGTGTTGATCTTGTCGATGGAATTCGTGACAGTTGTCAGAAATTGCGCCTAGACGGAAAATGAAAAGTTCAACATAGCTCAACTTAAAAATACTTTGCACGATCCTTACATATAGTTCAACTTACATACTGTGATATATATATATATATTTATTTAACGGCGCACAAACAAAATAAGCAGGGCAGTATTAGGCCCCGCCTTGTCAAACCCACAGTCTTGCAACTGTTGCATCAACTTTGCCCTAGAAGCACCACCACGAGCCCACTGCTGATGGACCTCTGGTGACACATGACACTTGCCTGACGGCTTCATCTCGCAGAGTCTGCGAAGCCGGGCTTCCTTTGCCTCAGTACTCTCAGGGGGACCATCTTTGTCGGCTCCCGCAGGGACCGATCTGGCACTTCCTGGTTCAGATGCGTCAGATGCATCATCATGCATGTCTTCACTGTGTTCCGATTCATCCGACTGTGCTACATGCTTTTTTCTTTCTTTTGTTCTGGACACATCTGAGTTCCGAGTGCGCTTGGGGGGTGGGGTCGAGAAAACCGGCTGCTTGAACTGCTGTTGGCGAAGCTTTGCCAACTCGGCTTGGAGTTTCTTGTTGGCCTGGAGCCATAGACTCTTAGATTGTGTGAATCGATATATATGTGCATGCATGATTATTTAGATTCTGGATTGACGCCTGTCGAGAATAGATCATGTTGTAACTTTCGATCATGCCCCAACCTCTTTCAACTGGTCCATCTCCCTTGTCTCCATCGAACGGCCGGTGTTTGGCAGGCTACTATGACGTTTCCTGGAAGAAACAGGCGGCGCGGCAGTAGCAGCAGGTTTGGACATGACTTCTTCTATCTTCCGTTGACCTGGAGCTCGGACATTTCCTTTCTTGTCAGCTGCTGCGGGCTTGACAACCTTTGACTTCCCACGTGACTCTCTGACTTCTTCAGGAGATGCCTAAGTACCGATTATCATGATCTGAAGATTGAATGAAGTAAGATTTGAAAATTTTCAGGCAGTAATTTGTTTCTATCAACACCACCACCAATCCAAGCCACTGGTTGGGTTTCCGCATTAGCAATCTCCTTGGCCTAGCAGGGCCATCGACATTTTAATGGGGCTAGAACATAATAAAATAGATTGGACCACATGCTATTGATACAAGGACACATTCAAACTTGATTGGATTTCCAATCAAAAGATGCCGCCTTCGCTCGTTCGGCAGCTTGCACCTGGAGAGCTTTGATCTGCTCTTGGTACTCCTGGAGCCGAAGAGGTTGAGGCGCCACGGTTTGATTGAATATCGGCTTGTATATCGATGAATTTGCACCCATATAAGCTTATAGTTAAACATAATAGTTACATTTTCAAGATAGCCACAGGTATCAAACAGTTTTGCTATGGTCTCCTGAATTTTCTCATCAAGTTCATCATCACTTTCATGCTCATGTCTAGCCGACAAAAGCTTTCCATGGGCTTCTGCAAGCTCGGAATTGGAGAAAGCTTTGGATGGCATTGTACGCCTTCCACTGCTCATACTTAGCTCCCCACTTGCAGGCTGCTACAAGTGAGCTGGAAACCCTCCAGGATGCAGGAGTGTCGGGTGGCGTGCGTGTCTGGCATGCTGGAGGTATGGTTCCCCAAACATATTTTCCCTATGGTCTTCAAATCCTTTCTTGGTGATGTAGGATAAAACATATATAAAACATATATGTCCCCCAAACTGCAATTTGTTGGCTTGAACAAGGTTGGACCAGTTTGGAATCATATGGAATGGCAATATTCCAGATGAAACTTCACAGAAATAACATCCCCAAAAAGTGAGAAAATTACGGAATGGCTACGTAATTTCCTACGCCTTTTTACGGCTTTTTACGCGTTTTTACGCCCCCCTACGGCCTACGGGTGCACCTACGGGTCAGCCTACGTAATTACTACGTAATTTCTACGTAATGGTAAAAACGTGTAAAAATTGTCAAAAAGGTTCAAGATGCTGTTCAAATACCCCATATTGTGAACAACAGTGATGAAAATTACATGTCTCATTCTTAAGGTAATGATTCACTTTTCCCACACCCATATTATCTTAGCAAAGGGGCTACCATACCAGATTTTATTGCAAACCCCAGGTTCAACTGAGTCTTTGAGGGGCCCTGATGAGATAGGAATGGTGGTTCAACTTCACCACAAAAAAGACGCCAGAAACAATAGAAACATATTTTTACTAACATGGGAAAACAATCACCATTCCTATCCCATTGTTGTTGAATGCAATCTTAACCCACAAGACCACACCGAGTTTTCCAGCAGCCTAACCTTTTCCCAGCCAGAATTCTGTTGTCCATGGTTAATAAATATCTGAAGGCAGATCATTCCTACCATTCCTACAATTTTCTCGGGAATGCTTCCCTCCAGTCTTGGAGATCTAGGAACCGGCTTCCTCGAAGCCAGCTCATCACATCATACATTTGAGCATCATCCCACAAGTCTCCCCAATCCAAGGAAGTAAACCAGACAAGCAAATGCTGCCCATTTCGGTTTGATTCGGGAAATTTGTCATACTTTCTTCTGCAAAAAAGACGGTGCAGCCGGGTCAACTTGCGACCGAACAATGGAGGATAAGTCCTTGGCAAAGCAGCCAAAAGAAGTATGGAATACAGGAACAAGTGGTAAATTCAAAACCCAAAGTATGTTGCTACTGCTTGGAAGTAAACCAATCGATATTGAGGTCGATACCCGGTAGATTTCAAAAGGGATGTTCCTTGGTACTTCTTCTTGCCCCCCTTCTCGTAGGAAATAGCTGATTTTGCGAGGTGGAGCCCATACTGTTTGGCACGTGCCCGGGATAAGCGCCCCCCATCAATGAGGGATATTGCCCACGAATTGCTCCATCCAATGTGGCGTTTGGGCGTAAGGGACTTGAATAATCCCATCCACCAACTCGTGGTATACACCTCCAGGCAGGGATTCCACATTCCAAAAATTGAAACATTTGAGGATTTTGAAGTGCCCCCACACATAATCCATAATCCCCAGACTAATTTCAAATAGGTTGGATGTGGTCTTTTTGTATGCCATAAAATTGATGGTCTAACCACCACCCCAAATTTCAAGGGGTTGTCATGGCTGCTAAATTCTTATCTATATATATATTAAACTTTGTATGAATTCCCCAACCATCACCCCAACAAGTTTTATTACTTTACCCTGATACCTGGGGTAGTCGTCGGAACACTTCCATCACCCGGGGATGCCAAGGGAGATAGCTCCCACGGGGCTGCTCCAGGAAGAAGGTGTTGGACATCGCTACTATGACGTAGATGAGAAGGCAGGTCCTTGGCGAATGGAGCTAGGAGAAGGACGGGTTGGTATATAGATCGAAACTTTCTTAACTTACCTTCACCAAAATCAATGGGGACATTTTAAAAACACATATTTTATTTCATGACAGATGCCCACAAACCAATTAAGGATTCTGCCCAATGGTGTTGGTCCCCTGAACAGCACCCTGGGTAACCATATGAATGTTATAAGGCATGTATTGAAATTGTAGGGGCCCCAAGATGAAAACAGTCAAAAATTGAAAGCCAATCCAAGTTTGGAAAATATGTACCGAAAAAAACAGCCTGGGTACCTTGAGCAAAGTAGATTACCCATTTGAACTGAGGGATATTCCTCATTTCCCAATGGTCTCCACGGTGCACGCTGGTGAGTGCCAGCATTCATGGAGCAGAAGCTGCGGCAATCCAATCCCAAGAGGACGAGAGCTTCACCCCATTTGCAGCAAAGCACTGTAGATAAGGCTAACCTTTGCTGGGAAAAAAGTTGGGGAAATTAATGCCAACTGGTGACTTGGTATGATATGATTTGATTTGGTATTGTTTTTATGATTTGGTAAAGCAAATCAATAAGGGTGAATAATTAGCAACGCACCCATACCCCCTTTGTGGTATCCGTGTTGCCATGAATTTGAACTATATAGTTTATATATAATATATGTAGTGCCTCAGAGCTGGGTCCTTTTTTCAATGGCCCAAAAAATAACAAGGTGCCAAATATTATCCATGAAACGCAAAGCCCGATTCATTAAGCATGTTCCAGGGATCCGATTTCCATTCTGGTGAATTTAAGTTCTCATCCTGGTTCAGGTTAATATCCAGGCTAGCGGTTTTCTTTCCACGATTTCGCATGCAGCGGCTCACCCAAGCATGCCCTGCAAAAATTTCTACAAAGTCATAAGCCTTTCAGGGAGAAATGCCAGTTGGATTTGCAAAGGTTTGCATATCTTGTAGAATGTGCCATAATCGAACTATATGACTACCCCCCAACATTACCCAACCATATTCTCACCCCAGGAAAACCCATCTTTGAACATGTTTTATATAATATATATATATGCTGCATGTAAATTCATTTTTGGGAAAACCTTTCAACAAACTTCCAGAGTCCTCATTCAAAACTTCGATCCGGCTGTTCAGGGCCAGCAATACGATGCAGCCCAATAGCACCTCCAGCACAGGACAGGTGTTGAGATCAAACCCTGGGCATCGGGCATGGTGGATTTTTGTTTTACACTCAAATAGTAACTTAGTAAATTTGAAATGCATTTTGCAAACTCATAGCCTTAGGTGCCATCATTCCATGGAGCCGTCTCAGAAGGAGATCCAGTTTCCCTTCATTGGAAGATGAAATGGCCATGTTCACAACTAGAGATGTTCCCCCCCAAAAGAGGGGTAAAACCTGTCATAAGATTGGGCCGAGATGAACCTGCAGATTCTAGAGAATCAAATTTGAAGTTCATGTGTGTGCTTGTGTGTGTGTGTATGTGCAACTCTTTCTTCAAAGTTGCAATGAGCAAAACATGTCCGGTATACGGGGTTTGCGCGGATTGTACTTCCGCTTCCTGCCAGCATCCATCAGGAGTTTGGCCTCGGCAGCGCAGCAGCCAATGGCTGTAAATAGCTACTTGGACCAGTGGGTGAAGATATGGGATGTGTGTGTAGAAATTGGGGCCTGCTTGAAAGTATGACATATATTGATCATCATATATTGATCATCAAATATTCATTTCTCGATTTTAACTAGTATGGGATCATCCTACATGAATAAACATTTGAAAAAATGGATCCTTTTGGTGAGTATGCATCACCATAGTTTCAATTTAAAACCCAAAGCGTTTAAACGGTTTGCCGGTCTTTTTCCTTGAGCAATCCTTGCAAGAGATCTCGACTGAAAAGGCTATAGAGAGAAGATCATTGCCATGGCCCAACCTGCGCATTTGCCATTGAAAAAGCGATGGTCTAATTGTTTACTTTTTCATACAGGCGAGGTGGAAGTCAAACCCACAAAAGTCATATAATAATTCCACATTGAGGTTGCAGGTTTACAGCAATATGTTTAGCCACAGCCAGCTAACGCAATTGCAAGACCCCAGTGATGCTGTCAAAAGCTGTCAATTGTAGATTAGATTTGAGATTTAAACTCAAAAAAGATCCCTGTTGCAGAGATCTGTATACCCACTTCTCAGCGCCAAATCTATGAATATCACGCGATATTCCCTGCCACATACTTGCGCGCAGCCTCTTTGGCCAGCGCATGAACAGTGTCAGGGGTAATTTCCTTATCGGCCCACTCAGCATTGCAGAAGCGCCAGAACTGGTCCTGGTCAGGTTAGCACAAGTAAAGGGGGAATACCATGCCTGAACTTGAGTAGCTTCAAAAAAACAATGGGTGGAGGTGGGGGAACCTTGAAAACCCATAATAATCAATAACAGGTAAATTGGCAAAAAGTGTTACAAAAATAATTTCAAAATTTGTCGATTTACTTTGCTTGTCCAAATCTATCTTGAAGCATTTAAAATTCGAGACTATGTACTGTAGGTTGATTTCAGGATATTCCTCCATATTTTCTTGGTATCAATGTGATGAGGCCACGGTTATTTGAAAAACAAAATTGGACTTAGCAACCCAAACCTGTAAGTTTTGAAAACCCAGCTCCTCGTGGTGGGAATACTTCGTCAACAGCGGCTTGATGTCATCCGTGAACACAGACCTGATGGCATGGAACTTGTGCTCTCCGATCAGCGTGTTGGGACAACGTCTTCGGGCAAAGGTCTCAGGCATGGCACGTGGGTTTCTCTTCCGGGGCTTTGTGTCCTCCTTCTCTGCATCCTCAGAGCTTCGCTTCGAGGCTGGTCCCTTGGGGTTTGGATTGTTGGTGCCATTCTCCGTGCCTTTGGACTTTCTCTTTTTTGAAGGCTTCTCCGTAGGCTCATCCTTGGGCTTCCCCATAGGCTCCACCGTAGGCTCCTCAGGTTCAATCCCCCCATCTCCCCGAGCCACTTCCTCCTTCGGATCCTTGCCCTCACCCTCAGTCTCTGCTTCAGCTGTCAGTTTCTTTGATCCAGCACTAGGTGGAGTCTCCTCACCCTCAGTACCTGCAGCCCTTTTGGCAGCAATCTCCGCCAAGGCATCAGCCTTGGTTCTGGCTCTCTTGGAATTCTGCTCCCCCTTTGCCTTGGCTGCAGCCTTTCCTTTGGCTTTTGCCTTTGCCTTGGCCTTTGCTTTTGCTTTTGCCTTGGCTGCCGATTTGGCACGAGGCTTTCCCTTGCCCTTGCCTTTCCCTTCAGGTTTGGACCCCTCCTGGCCCGGATCCTGCTCCTCTGATGTGTTCTCTCCCTCATCCTCCTTCTTGTCATCCTCTGGGTTCGGATGCTCCTCCTCCTTCCCGGCTGCGGTCGGCTCCGAAACCTCTTGATCCCCATCGCCGTGCTTGACCTGGAACTGCTGGCGCCGAAGTACCTCAGATCTGAAAGCTATGATAGGTTTGATTTCAAAAAAGCAGGTCCTGTTTCCTTTCTTTCAGGCTACATTCATGTTTATGTAAGGCATATGGCATAGTTTGTAGCAAGTGGGGAATCAAATTCTCGTGTGCATGCAACCTGGGGATGAGACGGGACCAAAAGATATTCGCATAAAAAAATCTAAACGACAATGAGATATGATTTGAAAAGGTAAGTCAAGGTACGACACTTGAAGAATCAAACTCAGCAATTGGGGGGTCGATGTCGTAGAACCTCTGAGCAGCATCAGCGCACAACTCCGGGGCAATTTGGGTCTCAGCAGTGTCATCCCCAAAGGGCAGCGAGTCAAACACAGTCACCACCCTTTCGGTGCTTTCACCTGCAGATTTGGGAAGACTCTTCTGCGCTTTCCTTGGTTCTGCACATGCTGAACTTGGTCAAAGTGAGAACTTTCAAAACAAAAATCAATGCCAAAAAATCAGGTTCTGGGAGTTGGGGACGAAAGACCCAGAAACAAATGTTTGGTTGAAATCAAAAATCGAAAATGTACGAACCAATTGGGGGAAGAAAGGCTCTTTGCTGTTTGAAGCTTCTTCGCGTCAGCCAGCATTTTCTGCAAAGCCTTGATCTTGGCATTGGTGTCCTCGGTCTTGTCATCCTCAAAAACATGCTTCTTTTCCACCACTGCATCAAAGGGGGGAGGCACCGTAGAGTCTCCATTGGAACCACTGCTGGGGCCCTGCTCGTCCTCGATCACATTCTTCTTGGGCTCCATATCTTCACCATCCTCAGGTCCTTCATCTCTCAGAACTGGGTCCGTCATGGCGGCTCCCGCATCATCATGATCATCTTCAGGGTCCTCTTGCGATGACAACAACACAATGGCCGGGTCAGGAACGGGGCTCCCAGGTTCAGGTTCATGGACTGGGCTGGCAGACGCAGCAGGGAGTTCGCTGGCAGGCACAGCAGGGAGTTCGCTGGAAGGCGCAGCAGGGAGTGTAGGAGAGTCATCATCCTCATCAGAGCTGTTGCCGGCCATCATCTCAGACTCGTCGGAATCATCTTCGCCATTGTCAGGTTCCTGGGGAGGCAGGCAAAGCAGCTAGTAGGAGAGGATGTAGTTAAGCAGAAAGGAAAAAAGGTTCCAAAAACTAAAACAATCCAAATGAAAGTGGCGCTAGAAATATAGAAATGAAATAGTAATAACCGGTGGCATGTTTTTCTTTGCAGTCCTGGGAATACGTACCAGGAGCGAGAAGTGCAAGCAACCTGCGGAAGTTCAAGTCATGAGGAATCTGGCCTCTGTTCAACTTCCGTTTGATCAACACTAGGAACTTCTTGGCATACTTGGCCTCCTGCTTCACCACCTTTTTGGGGACTTGGATCTCCATGCTGGTGAAGAGAAGCTGCATCCTTGAGAGAGGTTGTAGCGGCCGCAGGGAAAAACATGTGCTTCAAGAAAATCAACTTGTGTTCACCCACTCCTGCACCCATATCTTACCCCATATGTTTCTGACCCCTACTTCACCCTATATGTTCATTTTTTTAATGTATGCATGCATTTAGTCTGTTTGGCTGCCCAGCTGAGGGGGTTTTGAATAAACAACGCAACCTGCGCAACATAAGTTTATGAAAGGCTCTGGCGGAGAATTTCTGGAAGTGTGCACATGATCATGGTGCTCCCTTCATCATCCTTTAGCCTCATCACCAAAGGAGCCAAGACATCTCGGTTGACCCCAGCAGTTTTGGCCGTGATGTGAACGGCATCATCCCCCAACAATGGTCTGATGATTTTCTTGTTGGCCCGCATGTATTTCCGAAGATTCCTGGAATCCTCCCATTCCTCGGCAACACCTTCAAGATTGGCCATTGCCAAAGTAGCGGTAAGTGGGGCTGGGCAGAAACAAAAGCGCTGGGCCAAAATGATAGCAGTTTCATCAAACATGATAGTAATTCATACTGAATTGCAAATTGCCGTAGCAAAGATTTGGAAATGATGTCGGAGTTGTATGACCCCAGAATTGGCTAAATTACTTACCTGTCTATAATTCAACCATCCTTCCGTCATCTTCTTTCCTCCCCTTCTGTCGGGCACATCTAAGGTTCCCTGCTGCTTCCGTTGGCAGAGACGGGCCGTACCAGCAAAGCCAGAAAAGCGTTGCGAACCATGGGAGAGGAGGCTCATGTAGGTCCACCCCAATGATATGGATAGAGGTCAGGCCAAATCAATTGGTTTAAAGATGTTGATTTAGTCAATGTTTTAAGATGTTCAGAGCCCTACAGGCTTTTAAAGGCCCCATGAACTCTAGTTGGATCCTATAGGGCTGCCTCATTGTTCTTCATTTTGATTGGATATGGACCCCTCGTTCTTTTGGATGTGATCTTTTATCCAGAAAAATGCCAGAAAAATGATGACATTTGAGCCATTCCCTATCCTGAAATCACACCTTGGCAGGAGATATGGAACCGATGAATGGGGTCAAGTTTCCAAATGACCCTTCAAACGAGACAAATCTGGGATTCACAAAATACGGCCTTTTTGGGTGAAAACCCATAAAGGAAGGTTCTTGAGTCAGAAACCTAGTTCACATAAAGTGACCTCTATAAATAGAGGACGCAAAAGTGCTAGGTATATATACATATAATTACTTGAGGGATTATGGATTTAGTCAACTATGTTCAATCGTTGTATTTTTGTTAGTTTAAGGCTTTTATTTGTTTGTGGTACGCCATTGAAACTGAGCAAAAATGGCGACTTTGCTGAGGTGGCTCAGCCAGATGTCATGTGTAGTGCACAACTCACTGGCCATCTCAGGAACCGATAAACTTTGGAGGTACCTACCATACATAAGGCCTATATAAGGCCTTAGTTTCAGGGAATATCCCTACAAAATATGGCCAAAAATATGGTACTAACGTACCTCCATTTTAGGATCCTGAAATTCCCATTGAACAACTTGAACATGTAACGAGATGTAGGTATCATCATTAGATAATATGAAAAAAGTCTGCTATATATCTGGTATTTCCATCAAACATCATCCAATGAAAATGATCTGGAAATACTAGTGCATGGATATTAGTCCAAATGCACCTAAATTAAGCTGCAAACATCAGTTATTCTATAGTGAGTCTCATTAACGTTCATCTAAATTAATTCGAACTAAACACCCAAATCCAGAATTCATGTCATTGGATAATTGAATAAACAAAGAAGCAATTATGATTTGTAACTGTGGATAATTCATTGGATAATATAATTAAATTCTTCAATTCTCAATTCCCCCCAAAAAAATAACTGGATATTCTCGTGTTTTTCTGTTCAATTTCTCTGACCAGATAATGATAGCACTGGTGTAGCCGCTTAGCCTCAGGCCACCTCATCCCGAATCTTGCAAGGTGCCTTGAAACCTTGTCGCAAAGTTCGTAATATAATAGTGATTGTATCCATTAATATGTATACCCTGTGGTAAACTAACATAACTATGGAAAATCACCATGCTATTAATGAGAAAACTCACTATTTCTATGGCCATTTTAAATAGCTATTTTGACATAACCAGAGGGTATATATATATATCCCAATAAGGATTATATATCCCATGGGTTGGATTACAATATGACAATATATCATCCCCCAACCAGTAATAATTTATAAGTTGGGAATGTATCCATATCATAAAAATACTGTATATATGCCAATGATATCCCATTCTAATGATAATTTAGTGAAGTTCAATGATAATTTCTGATAATGATTAATAATTAATAGGGATTAATCCCATCTCCCGTTCATATTAAACACCCCCACTGTTTTTTGTCTGTTGATTATATGGAATTTCCTGCATCCACCATGGTTTCGTTTGGGGGTGTGAAAGAAATTGGCGGAATGGGATTATCTATAATATAGTTTGTGGATGCAGGAAACTCCATAAAAGTAGGGTCACCACTTAATTCGTTAACTATCTATAATTATATATAACTCTATAACTACTTAATTAGTTACTATATTTTTGGTAACTAGGGATTGTCTATAGTTGGAAACTCTCGGTGGCTCCTGGGCTGCCCATTTCAAGGAATATGGATACCAGATTTTTATTAACTCCATGTGTTTATGAAACTTATCAGATGGTTTCCATATACACCCATTTACACATTTATATGTGTTTATATCCAAAGAAACCTAGTTAACCAAATTATAAGTCAACTTAGCTATCGAATGGGGGCCTCACCTTGTAACTCCAATGTGTTTTTCTAAAAGAACTTCTTCCTTGGGAGACACCATCACTGCCGAGCACCTCGTGTCGAAGCTGCGGCGACGCATTGTGTGTTACCTGAAAGTTTGACCATCAGAAGTGGGAGTGTAAAAACATGATAGAAATATGAGTTGCAAATTATGGTTGCATGTATGCATGATATGTGATGGAAATGGATTACATAGCCAACAATGTCACGTTCTCTAGGGACATTTTCCATTTGCCAGTGGATTTAGGGGTACTGGGTACCATCGGGTACCCTTACTTGTAGACAAGCCCATTTCAATCGTTTGGGGAGCAGGGAAAGTATTCGCCAAACTGCAAATATATATATATATATCAATAAATATGCTGGTTGGTGGTATACCTAGCCGTCTGAAAAATATGAGTTCGTCGGTTGGGATGATGACATTCCCAACTGAATGGAAAAATAAAAAATGTTCCAAACTACCAGTAGTTTTTTCATGTATGATGAATTATACTGAACAAAAAGACGTCACCGAAACAGTAAATGTTGGAATGAAACAGGAAACAAACATTTGAGTAGGCTCATTGACTCGAGTTCCATGACCGTTGCCTGTTGATTCTCAGTTGAAAATGGAGAATGGCCGGCTTGAATGGTTGATTTGAGTTCAAATGATTGGTACAAAGTTGGGAAATTAGGACATACAGTCGAAGAAATCCTGCACCAGTTGCTAGATGGTTTCTCCCGTTTTAATCATGGCCAATCTTAGATACCCTTCAAAAAAATACATTCTTAGCTGGTGAACGTAGATAATCCCATTGATACCAAAAGACTAAAGGATTCAAGTACCCATCCAAGATTGACCTAGAGTGTATGCTATATTGGTACATGCTTAGAAGTAAATGTTGGCATTTTTTTAAAAAAATGTAAATATACCATACAAAGAAAGGTGCGTCACAAAGAGAAACACTAGACCGGCTCTCAGTACAAGAACAACACCTCCACGAAGTGATTATTGACCAGGGCTCCCCAGTCTCGAGCAACGACGGACAAAACTGCACCATGCCAGATTCAAGAAGCCAAAAGCAGATCACAACGGACATAGAACCAACTCAAGGGTCCAAGCAGTCCGAAGCTCTGACACCTCTCCAGGAGACAAAGTCCAAAGAATGCTTGGAATGCCAAGAACTTGGATCACCGGAATCTGATAGTAGTAGGCCGCAATCTGGAAGGTCCGCCTCAAGCAACTCGATGTACAGTCTGTGATGACTGTCGGAAAGCCTGGGACAGTGTGCTGCATCTTCCTGCTGACCTGCTGGAACAAAGCTGTCAACCTCAAGGCCATGATGTAGAAGATCCCAACCAAATTGTTGGATAGCCAGCGAATGATGTCGTAACTGATCAAAGGACCAGTTAACGCAACCAGCTCAGATCCTCCTTCGAGATTTCCACTGGGCGCCTTTTCTTCTTGGCTGTCCCGGATGTATTGCTCGTTTTGGCCTTCAATGTCGGTGACATTTCTAGCACGGGGTCCTCTGTTGCGGGGGCCTCTTCTTCCCCGTTTTATACCATACATGGAGCAAAACTTGAAATTCTCAAAATGTCTGAAGCCCCACTTGTGCCTTTGTCAAGCAGTATCGGCTATGTTGACCAAATGCATGACGATGAAAAAGCATTTTGAAACAAAAAAACTGTATGGCGGGACTTATAGTAATCCCCCAAACAGATATAAAAGTAGTTCACCACTATTTTATAGTTCAGTAGCATTCTGCTTTTCTGTCTTTTTTGGAGGTTACAAAAAATATGTGGAAATCGGTGTGCCCAGCATTTTTTTCCAGTTGGCAATCCCAGCGAAGGCAAAAAAAAATGCCCTCCGGAGAGCCAAAAAATCTGATTACTAAGTGATACAAGGTGGTGTCCCCCGTTCGATAGCTAAGTTGGCTGGTTGGTGGTATACCTAACCCTCTGAAAAATGATGGAGTTCGTCGTCAGTTGGGAGTATTCTTCCCAATATATGGAAAAATAAAATTCATGTTCCAAACCACCAACCAGTTGGTTCATAGCTCCAATTACTATGGTTTTTGTAGGTGATATCTCGATCTAGTTAATTAATGGGTTTATAACCAATAAAAATAACTGGGGCACCACCTAAAGTACCTGGTACTTCACCCCGGTGCCTCAAATTTGATCG